GACAAAGTAATTTTGTAGCCAAATTTGTAGGAATAAAGATAGTGCACTTGTTGGTAATTGTATTGGAGTTAAGGTGATATCTGAAGCATATGGTAGTAGTAGAAGGAGGAGTAGGATAAAGGTTAAAAAACTGAGACTGAAATGAACAGTGCTAGTAAGTAATAAGAGTAAGGCCTGTAAGGCTATTGTGCCTTCTGGTCTTGCCAACAATGATTTGATTATTGAGAACGGTAAATAGCCAGGGTTTGGTATTGGAGTTAAAGTGGCCAGTAGTATAAAAAAAGTAGTTTGACTGAGATAGATTAAAATGATTATATAATGTACGTTTATAGAAATGGCTAGTAGTAATGTTCTTAAGAATGGTAAACTATTGAGGTATAACACCTTTAGAAAGTTTGTTTAGTCTGGGAGAAATATGTTGCCAATATAGTAAATATAAATTATCACAGGTGATAAGTTGTTCAAAGAAGAGAAGTTTGTAGTATTTAAGTTGTTTTTTAAAAATAGGATATTTAGAATGAGAAAAAAGGGACCGATTTTACCAACCCATTTTTCAAATTTCCTTTTTTAGAAAAACCATGATGATCATCAAAATTAACCAATAAAATCATATACAAGATTTATCTGATATGTAGATAGTCATTTGACTCTAATTTAATTCATGATTGGATTTCAATATAATATTAATACTTTTTTTCTATTAATAAATTGATTACAAATTTATTATCTCTATATTTTACTTTACAAATAATTAAATCTATATTAAGTTACCTTTACTAGTCATTTATAAATGTAGATTTTGAGTGACACCAAAAGAAAACCAGACTTCGGGCTTTTAAAAATCTGAAGTCTAATTTTCTCTTGGCGTCACTCATTTGTCCTATTTATCATATCTACCAAACATAAGAAATCTGTGCATAGGGCAAGAACTACTATTCATAGCAAGTTTTCAAACCATGCTGAGCTCTCACGGCATCGATTATTACAATTAGTTTTTACAATAAAATAATTTCAAGAGTTGCAAGTTTATCACATCGACATGTAAAGAGTAAAACTTTAAAACTGAAAATTCTGCAATATAGATTCAAAACTGCCAACCAAATATTTTCACTGTAAAAATAAGTAAAATTAAATTTGTAGTTTAATATCTAATAGATATTCGGACCCGATTTCTTCCTAATTATTAAAAATAAAATATTGGTCATATAATGTAAAGATATTAAATATAATTATACTTACCTAGTGTTATACTTATCTAGAAACAACCTTATATAGATTTTGAATGATCTTTATAAAAAAAATCAATGTGTAAATTAGTTTAACATCTAATACTAATTAATTAAATGTTAATTATCGAACCACAGTGTTTTTGCCTTCTCTTACTCTAATATAATTATACACAAAAGCCATTCTCTTTATAATAATTGTCGGTTTAAATTAGACATATTGCGACCTTTGCTCTCCTAACAATATTAATAACATTGTCAACTTCAAATGCAAAACATCAGAATTAGGTGTAAAACAAAGCTTATACTTAGCAAATATAAAGGCATATATCCCTGTATATTTGGAATAGTGAAGGTATTAAACTTAGAAAAAGACAACTTTATCCCTTACAACTTGCGTGCAAATTTGCCTGCAACTTATCATGAGATATATGTGATAATATTAAAATGCAGCCAAATCACAGAATATTCCAAGTTTCACTATGGTAGTATGATAAGTAAAACAGTTTAAGGAATAACATCGTTAGTTAAATTTCACTTAATTAGCTTTCTATAATGAGTACCTGAATTGGACCTACCGGGTATAGGTTGAATGGTTGCTATTGCTCATTCTGTTTCCAATAACAAGATTTTAAATCCTACAATGGCTTTAATTAATATATATTACTGAAATAAATTTAAATAAAAACCTGACAATATGCTAAGATATAATGATAACACCAATATTAAATTAAGAAATAATTACTTGTTACTGATGGTGACAGTACCTAGATTTTATTTGGAGTTATATTTTTAAAATTAGAAAGTGTCATAATATAATTTAGAATTATATTTAGGGTTAGAAAGTATTATAATATATAGTAAAATTATGCAAGAAATATTTTTTTGTTAAGACACGAGGGTTGGTTTCATATGCATAAATTTGTGTTATTTTGGTTTGAAATTTTTGAGGTTTTGAACCGTAAAATCTGATTGGCCTGGATCTGTCAACGCTGACAAAAAATAGATTCGCCCTTAAATATAATTTAAAACCTGATAATACATTAAGATATAATAATAATGCTGATATTAAACTAAATTTATATCATTTAAATTAAATAATATAAATGGTGATGCATATATGTAATCATGAATGTTTAATGAAAAGTATATTAAAGTAAAATAATATCGATGATACATACCTAACTGTAAACATGATAAACACGAATGTTTAATAAAAAGTATATTAAAGTTAAACAATATCGATGACAATACCTATTTGTAATACGAATGTTTATTATAAATAATAAAAAGTTTTTTTAAAAAAAATTATCATTTTTAAAACAGCTAAAATCAATTGAATATACTTATTTTATAATTCATTTCACTATTGTTGATGGTTCTAGAATCTTCAACTTAAGCTTTGCGTAAAAATATCCTTCTCAAAGTTTAATGCTTCTAATATTACTAAAAAAAGAGGCAATTATAATATACGTGTAAAAGCAAGGTTAAACTCACACCTTTTACTAGAAGATAGTAATAGAGTTAAACTTAGTAATTTGTTAGATAATGGTGCGCCTGGTGTAATTGAACACAAATGGGATTTGTCTAATGAGGAACAAATTATAAATCGTGATCAATTTCTCCAGAAAAATGGTCTTGATATTAATACTGACGATGTATGCTGCAAATGGTCCATTCGACAAACAACTAAAACACAAGTTATTAAGCAATGCATAGGTGGAAGCTATCACAAAAAAGAAGTTGCACCCAATTCTCGAGCCTCAGCAGCCCGTTATCCCTATGTAGGATGTCTTGCATTTGCAGCGATATATATTTATGATAATGAAATTTGCGGCATTGCAGGATTTCTAGAGCATTCTGTGCAATGTATGTATTCCCAGCTGCAGAATGACCCACCCTATAGACTTTTACCATACGTAAGACAAAATGTTGAGAGCTTGTTAAATCTCAATGTCAGGACTTCGGATATTCTTGCTCAAAATGCAAGAACAGTGAAAAATGTGTTTAGAAATAGTATATTGATTGGAGATTTCAGAATGTTACTTACCACGATGGACATTGCAAACATCAAAAAGCAGATGTTACAAAAAACTTGGAATGTCAATATTAAACACGATGCTGCAAAGAATTTAGATCAGTTTCTTGGACAAAACGCAGACCAGTCTGGGCTTAAAGAAGCGTGTTTGCATTATCAACCTCATACAAGAGAAACAGATCGTCTAGAAATCATTATCAGCACCCGAGAGCAACAGGACTATGCATGGCAATATGGACATAAAAATCTTATTCTTGTAGATGGAACCTTTGGAATCAGCAAACATAAATTACTTCTATTTACTATTATGGTAATTGATAAAAATAATAAAGGCATTCCTATTGCCTTTATTCTTTTTACACCACCCCAATATAATCGATTAACATCATCTGGGTATGATAGTAATATTCTAGAATGACTTTTTATGATCTTTCATGATAATATTAGTAATAACTATAATCAAACACAAGTAAACTCAAATGTTACCCCAGTTACATTTAGCTCCCTTGTTGCAATAACTGACACCGATGTTAAGGAGAGAAAAGCATTATCGAAAGTATGGCCGAGAATCATTTTATTGCTTTGCTATTTTCATATTAGCCAATGCTGGAAGAATGAGATTAATAAGCAATTAGGTCGGGGTGGTAAGGGTGATGCAATTTTACAACGACAAACCCTAAAGGAATATTTAAAAAGTATTTTAAAAGAAGCTTGGTTGATGGTAGGTAGTGAAGAGATGGTGCAAAATTATATTATAGAAAAAAAAAAATTATTAGAGAGCATTATTAATGAAACAAAAAATATTTCAGAAAATAAAAAGGATATATTAAATGGTGGAGTAAAATTTCTTAATTATTTAAATAAACAATGGGCAGAAGACCTTCTGTATAGTTGGTGTTTTGATGGACGAATGAGAGCTGCAAAAGTTCTTGGAATCCCTCTTGAAAAACTTCCTACCACGAATAATCATCTTGAGGGAATGAATGAATACTTAAAAAACAATCAATTAAGCCGATTTCAAAGGAATAGTCGTCGTCTTAGAGCTGATGTGCTTTATATTATACTGGTAAATGAAGTTATACCTAATATACTGACATTACGACATCTTGCTATAGACCTTGAACAAAAGAAAGCTGAACGACGAAAAGAGCTCAATATTATGAACCCATCTGACCGTAAAATTCTTAAGCAAGAATTTTTACAAGTAGCCTATTTATCACCAAGCATAAAACATGATGAATCAGCCAAGAAATTACTTGATATGAATAAGGTAATAAAATATGAGATAAAAGATTCGACAGGAAATATTTATGTTAAAGTTGAATCTGAAACCACACCAGGGTTGATTTACACGACTTGCGTGTATGGACAACCAACCAATATTTGTTGCCAATGCCTTGACTTTCTTCAAAAAGGAATTATGTGTAAGCACCTTCGTGCAGCGGCTCTGTATATTGATGAACTTCGTAAGCAAGAGCAATATTCACATTTACCTGAAATGACCTTCCTAACCTATAAAGAAGCTCAAAGTATTAATTATAATCTATGTGCTAATGAATCAGAGACACCAGAAAATTCTTTAAATGATAATGATATTAGTGACGATGATTATAGTGACGATGGAAATGATAAAGACATTAACGATGAAAGCAATAATTATGATGATAATGATGACAGTTCCACATCTACCTCATCCTTAGAAACTCTTAATTATGTGAAACACATTTTTGGAATCAATACTTTAACAGTAACACCATCATCTACTTCATTTGCGCAAAACCAACCAAGATCTAAAGTAATTGATATTAACAGGCTAAATGTTACTGCTATTCATAGACAAGAATTCAAAGAATTCTTAGAATCTACTTCAAGAAGTCTCCAAACATTGCGAGAAAATTCGTTACTTCTCAAGAACCTAATAAAATCTGAACAATTGACACAAGAACTATGTAATACTGATCAATGTGCCTTACAGACTCACCTCCATAACATTATTGCCTCAAATTCCTTTAAAGAAGTACAGATTTTAGTGGATGTTATGCATAAAGATATGAATCCTCGTAGGAGTATAATTTCTAACACAGATATTCTTCCACTAGTATACGAAGCTAAACAACAACGGAAACCATCTTACAAAAGCTTCTAAATCAGTCATTCATACTACTTAATTGCTGCACGATA